CCTGCCGTCTCCAGAGGGGGGGGGCCGGCCAGGCCCGCCAGCGGCTAGCCAGCGGGACCAGAACGACGGTGGGAGAGTGCACGCACACCTGACCCTGGGCCACATCCAGAGTGAGTGCGCCTGGGAGCCCAGGCGTGCTCCCCACATCGCTTGCGGCCAGACTCACGCCGGGACTAGCCAGGTGTGATGGAGACCCCAGGGTGCCCACACACACCACGCTGGGGGTCCAGCGACCCGCCCCATAGGGCCAGTCATTTACGGTCTTTAGGTCTTAGTTTTTTCATCTATGGAACAAGTGCTCTTATCTCCTTCATAGACTTGTAAGATTACATGAGATAATAAGTATTCATTTAGTGCAATGCCTGACAATAGCAATAATCACTGCTGGATGATATGATGGTGGTATTAGTGGTGATGGCACTGGTGCTAGTGTTGTGATGGCAGTGGTGATAGTGATGACTGTAATGGTGATGGTAATGATTGTGGCAGTGATAGTTATATTAATGACTGTGGTGATGATGGTGATAACTGTGGTGATGATGGCGATAACTGTGGTGGTGATGGTGATAACTATGGTGGTAGTGTTGATGACTCCATGGTGATGATGGTGACAGTAGTGACTGTGGTGGTTATGGTGAAGGCTGTCATGGTGATGGTGGAGACCGCGATGGTGACTGTGATGACTGTGGTGGTGGTGATGATGATGAATGTGGTGGTGGTAGTGATGACTCCATGGTGGTGATGATGATGGTAGTGACTGTGGTGGTGGTGGTGAACACTGTGATGGTGATTGTGATGACTGTGGTGGTGGTGGTGGTGATTATGGTGGTGTTGGTGATGACTATGATGGTGATGGTGGTGACTGTGGTGGTGATGGTGGTGACTGTGGTGGTGATGGTGATGACTGTATGATGATGGTAATGACTATGATGGTGATGATGATGACTGTGGTGGTGATAGTGATGACTCCATGGTGTTGATGATGATAGTAGTGACTGTGGTGGTGGTGGTGAAGACTGTGATGGTGATTGTGATGACTATGGTGGTGGTGGTGATGATGACTGGTAGTGCTGATGGTAATGATTATGGTGGTAATGACTGTGATGGTAGTGGTGCTGATGATGACTGTGGTAGTGGTAGTGATGATTGTGGTGATGATGATGGCGGTGATGGTGAGGATTATGGTGATGATGGAGATGATGGTGATGACTGTGGTGATAGTGGTGACTGTGGTGGTGATGGTGATGACTATGGTGGTGATAACTATAGTGATGATGGTGATGCTGATGCTGCTACTGTCACTGATTCTTCTCTATGAGATTTGTGAGGAGACATTTCTTTTTCCCATGATAACATGATTTTTCCTTCTTGACAACTCATGAGTATTCTCTTTGTTCTCTTTTGAGTACTTTTGCTTTTCCAGAACATTTTTATTCATCCTCCAGGGATGAAGCTCCACACTCTTGCAGCTTACAGAATCCAAGTTATTTGTCCTTTTCCTGATATATTCTTCTCAATCTTTCATATCTGGCTTTGGTCCCCTCTTTTCCTTGGAAGCTCAGGAAACATCCAACATGCCCTCCAGTCAGGGGGCTCTCTTGCATTGTCCATAGACAATGACCGTCCCTGGAGAAAATATGTCAATGAAATACGCACTGTGGATCCATGGATGGAGTCCTTCGTGTCTGAGAGCAGCTGAAAGCCCGTGTCCCCTGGAAGTGCTCACAGGCTCACTTGTTCTTCTTTACTCAGTTTCCCTCATCCTTAGCGACTAATATCTGCAAAATTATGGTGCAGACATTTTGGAGTCTCTCTTCTAGAACACACTCTACATGAGGCTTTTACTCAGTTGAGAAAGTCTACCTACCAGAGATCCCAGTACAGAAATACACAGTGCACTTGAGAGAAAAGACAGACCAAGAAATCTTATTCTTAGTGCTACTCTGGTATGCTTTCTACGTTAAACCTTGGAGTCAGCCAGCCTTTCTCATTGTTGTGACCAAACACCCGATGGAGGAAAGTTTCCTTTAAGCTCATGGTTTTGAAGGTTTCAGCCCGTTATTTGGGCCTCCAGTTTATGGGATGGTGCTGCTCACATTCAGGGTGGATCTTCCCTCCTTAGTTAATCTTCTCTGGAAATGTCCTCTCACACACACCCAGAGGTGTGTGATGGTTAACCTTGACTTTTACTTATCCTAAGGTGTTTCTAATTGAGTCAGGCTGGCAAGCAAGATTAACCATCATGCCCTCCAGGCCAGTAACATTCTTCACTTTGTATTAATGGAGTTCCTTATACTACAACGTATGTTAACCTGATTCCTGCACACTGATGCAGTTGCTTTTTCTAAAAAATTAAAAATATTTTATTTATGGTTTTTATTTTATGTGTATGAGTGCATTGCCTACATGTATGTAAGTGCACCTGTGTTATGTCCATGGAGGTCAGAGGAGGGTGTCAGATTCCCCTGGAACTGGAGTTATGAACGGTTGTTAGCTGCCATGTGGGTGCTGGGAATGGAACCTGGGTCCTCTGTAAGAACATTCAGTGCTCTTAACCACTAAGCCAGCTCTCCAGCCCCATGGTTGCTTTTTATAACACCCATGAGGATGATATAGGATCCCATTAGTTTTCATAGCTAGATAAATCAAGTCTCAGAGAGGTTCCAAGACCACTTTGTCTCACACAAAATGTTGGGAGCCTCCCAACTCAAGCTTTCTCCCTTCCGTTCTTTACACACATGGAACCACTGGCCTCTGGGCTCCCAAGAACCGTGTGCCACAGGGCTGCAACCCTCACCCCAGCCTCCAGTCTTCTGTTACTCTGGATGGTGCTTTCAAGGAGTTGTGAAAGACAGTAGTGTGTGCACTCAGTGCCCTTGAGATGAAGCCTGACTAGAGCAGCAAATTGTTTTTGAGCATCATCAATGGCACTGAAAGAAGGACCCTGAACATTTGAGGGACAGCTATGATTCCACTGAAAGGAATGGCAGGTAAGGGAGGGGGTCCATCCTCTGATTCTCCCCTTAGCTGACCCTGGTTGGGCAGAGGTATGTAATGGAGCCCCTGGGAGCCGAGGCCTGCTGATGCAGGGTGTTCTTGGCTCACCATCCTCAGTCAGCTGCAGCTCCAGCATGCTGACTGTGCTGGTGCCATGGCTGGCTGCCCCTGCACCCACCCAGTAATGCAGCACAGGAAGCTAATGGGTTTTCATTGATTGTTTTGATGGGGCTAGCCAGAGTGTCATATAACACGAAAGATCACTGGAGTCTAATGTGGCTTAGGCAACCCAGGGGGCTGAGTCTGTGGGCACATGCAGTCTACAGCCCTACCAGGTCTTTTAAGAACAGTGATTTAGATATATTGTTGCTTCACACACGAGTAGATGGACTTCCTCAAATCAGGCATACTCTTGATCCTTAGATCTGTGGCTTGGTGATAAAACAGCTCTACTCCAGCATGGCAGATGCCTCCTTTATGACTATATGGTATTCTCAGTCCCTGGAACAGCAGATGAATCAGCCACAAAGCTAAGCTCACTAAGAATGAAGACAACTAATTTCTGTCCCTACAAGTTCAGTGTGAGCCCAGAAATGTGCCTATTCACAAGCTGCTGATCCATGAAGCTCATGTACTAGTCCAGGAAACACACACTGTGAGGCACCAGTACAGCTTTTGGGGGTATTCCCAGGGCTCTCCCTACTTCTTACATGAGACATGGCTGAAAATTCTTAGTGGAGTTTTATAAGAATTAAGAACCACTGGTGACAAAACACTTATCAATCATGTTGCAGTGCCCCCCAGGACATCGGCTTAGACAACCTGCTTGTCCTAGAAAAGATCCAGGCCAGTGGCTAGTAGGCGGCATTGGGCAGCGCTCCTTCCAGCCGAGCAGTCTGTCTTCCCTGCATTGTGCTGTGGGGTTTGTGTCTGGGCTACATGCCAACTGGGTCACACTTCAGGAGCCACCCAGGGTGGGAACCTCCCCCATTTCCCTCCTGGCCTGGGACAGTCACTGGCTGTGCCAGGACAGGGGACTCATGGACAGGGAGGTGTCTATAGGGAGGACTCACGGCTTGGTCCACGGATCTTGATGGGCTTACTGCTGGTCATGGACTGGGAGCATGTCTGGCATACACATTCTTTACCACTGAAGGTCACCTTATCTCCAATGGGGAAAGGCTTCCTGCAAAGATATGGGGAAGAAAGTCAATGCCTCCTCTTCTGAGGATTCTGTGGGTACTGGTGACCTGACAACTCATGCTTAGGGACTCTGATAACATGTGTGGCTTGCCTTCTGGAGCATCAGGCAAAAACAAATGCTGTTCATAGTAACAGGCTGGTGTGAAAGAAAAGTTCCCCAAAAGAACTCCTGCACCTTGGACTGAACTTCCTGCAAGGCTGACCAACTGATTATCACTCCAGAGACTGTGGAGAGTTTGGAATGTTACAGGTCCAGAGTCTAATTACCATTTATCCCCAGCCATCTTTAGTCCCCTAAACAGCCACTTCTTACCTACCTCTGTTTCTGATCTAACATCCTGTGACTAACAGATAAAAACCTTTTAGAATGTATTATCCTAGCAGACCACCCAGTGTCACCAATCAAAAGACTAAGGTGTCATCAGATAGCATCTGAGATCTATAGTAAAAAATCCCTCATTTTGCTGCGACCTGCCTACTGAATGTATCCTCCAATATATTTGAAAAGTGTCTTGATTTATGACTTCTTTGTTCTGTTACTATAAAAATGTAAGGCAACTGTTATGCTGGAACATAGAATTTGGGGTAACCTGAATCTGTGTTCCCGGGTCATGGTCACTCATATTTGGCTCCAGAATAAACTATCTCTTATCCTCTTTGAGGTGAGAGTTATGCTTTTGTGTCGACACTGGTTAAGCCACTCTGTGAGGCCCAGGAAGCCAGAACTGGAGGTCCTATTGGGCCATTTATATCACATAATAGTGGAAATCATACCACACCTGTGGGCTTTTTCTCCTCAGCTGCAACCAGAAGAGACAACCCACTCCTCACAGCGCCGTTCTGCCATTCCAGTCATCCTATCCCCATGTAACAAGAGCTTATCCAATGCCCAGATTTGCCAAAATTTTGTTCTTTTCACTCTGTAGACATTTCTCAAGACCCTCTTTCCAATGGGAAGGTTATCAGTCCTTAACCCTGTCCCCCAATTCCCCAATTTGATGCTTCCCCAGTCAAGGTGTCTCAAGTTTGCATTTCGGCCTCCAGCATAATTATAAACTGCATGCAGATCTCCAGCATCATTAATGCCACCGAGTGGCTGATTTTGTTCCTGTCTGGGACACCTGTCCCTCTGAGCTTAACCCCCGACAAAGGCTTCCAGTTGCTCTGCTGTTCTCTTATCGGCAATGTGGGACAATGGAGGGAATTCTAGGGTGGGAGTTTGGGTAGCTGTGCCTTCAATGTGGCCCAGCCACTGCTCAAGATAAAAAGATGCAGCATGACCTTAGAGACCAAAGCATTTCCGTGGAGCCTGACACAAACCTCACCTTGCATGAATACTCCTCGACTCCTGATAGGTCAGGGACTCCAAGATGCAGAGCCCAGGTTTTAAGAGATGAATACATGAATCTCACTGGCTCAGTTTTCTTTTTATTTACACAGTCTTCCATTAGTCTCGGTTACTCTAATTGGTAACCAACCAGTGATTATTTTATAGGGAGAATTAATCAACAAATTCTTCTCCCAAATAAAAGTACACATGAATTCAAACCACATTTTACTTATAACTTAATCAGAGATGGCCATTAAATTTTAACATTTGTGGGAAGAGCTGAGGTCTTCTTTTTTTCATCTTTTTAATGTTGTGCTTGGCATGTAGCAGCTCCTTAATGCACATTCACTGAATTAACAAGTGACTGTGATACCTGGTGGGGAGGGGGCAGGGAGGAGATGTCTTGAGGGCAGTTGGAGGACTATCAGAGTGGAAAGAACATGAACACTGTGGACCAGTCACTGGGCTCAGGACTCTGCAGATACCATCTCACACATCTTCACGAAAGCCCAGCCAGGTCGCAGTGGTTTTGACCTCCAGTACTGAGGCTTACATTGGCAGTGTCATTCTGCCAACAGTGCTGGGAAGATGGAGGAAGGCCACCCAGACTTACTTATGCTTCCTGTGGCTGAGGGTGTGGGAGCCTGGGCCAGATGCTTGGCTTCCAGACTGACTTCTGAAGGGCTGGGCATCCAGTGGTTCTCTGGGGGCTTTTTGAAGGGAAATGGACCATTGAGCAAGGGTTTCAGCTTTGCATGCTGCTAGTTGTCACAGGACAAGCTAGCACTTGACATTGGACTGCATGTGACAGAAAGGAGTGGCTGCAAGGTTTGAAGAACCATAGGCCTATCAAAGCCTTCCACCCCTGAGGTTCCAGAATTCCAGGGGCCTGTATGCCCCTGAACTGCCTGGGAAAGGCCATATCTTTCCCTCTTCTGGGGATCACACAGAGGGTCCCAGTTCCCTGGGCCTGCTCACCTGCACAAGCTGCACACGAAGCATTTAGGGTGGTAGGTGCGGCCCAGGGCTGAGATGACCTCGCCGGTGATGAAGTCCCTACAGCTGTCGCAGCGGGTGCCATAGAGCTGCTGGTAGTCCTGGGTGCAGATATACTCCTGGTTCTTGAAGAAGAAGCCTGACTGGGCCAGGCCACAGCCACACACTTGGGGGAAACAAGTAAAGAAACAGCACAGATTGAGTCTAGGGAGAGTTTGCAAGCAGGAAGTTGGGGGAAAGGTAGTGTCTGACTTTGTCATGGATAGTCACAGAATGCTGGCATGTCAGAGCTCATGGACCTTTGGAGTCACCTGTATCAGAGCCACCTGGGGCTCCTTCAGAGGTAGATGCCTAGGCCTGAATTGGGCTTCCAGGGGCTGGGGCTGGGCCTGGGCTTTGCATTCTTGCACAGTGCCCAGATGACTCCAGTGCATACTCCCTGGGAACCACTGACATTGTACAGTCATCTCAATACACTGAAGACTCACACCATGCCACACAACTCGGTGATATCAGAAATTGGAGGAAAAATCAGTTAGTTGAAAATCTCCTGGGAACTTGCTTATATGCTTGAATTTCCACCAGGTCAAGAGCAGCATGGAGACTATGGCTCAGAATCCCAAACAGGAGATAACTACTAGGCTGTCAATGGGATACAAGATCTGAAGTTCCTGATCTGTCCTTGCTGTAGCCACAGAGGGTTGGTCTGTTGCAAAGCAGCAATGCAAAATACACAGTCTCTGAACTGCAAAGAACCTAACATGTCGACAGGGAGAAGATACCCTGCATCATGGGTGTTGGGCTGTGGGGTAGGTGCAGGCAGTAAGTGCTCAGAATTAGAGAAAGGAAACCCTATCAATGGGGGGAGTGACCACAGGAGGCTCCTTGGTTGAAATGGCATCTGAGGAAAGCATCAACAGCACAGCTGAGCCAGCGCACAGAGTCAGGAAGTTGCAAGTCATCTTTGTGTGGTGTGGGGCTAGAACAGAGTGGAGTCTTAGTGAGCGGAAGGAAGTCATGCAGGAAAAGATGGTTCCAACTACTAGGAGGAAGGCTGGTTTGCGAAGCTCAGGTTTTGCAGGTGTGCGATATCTATTCTTTAATTGTTGGTTGGCATGGGGATGGAGTGGTCCTGGAGAGTCCAAAACAATACAAGATATTGCCATTACTCTTGGATGCTCACCAGAAGTCAACTGTTAGATTCTATTCCTGAAAACACCACACACTTTGATTATCACAGGGTTCAGAGAAATCAAGTTGATACTGATTGGGAAGATTCCTTCCTGCTGGTATCTCTTGAAGAAATAAACAGAGGTCAGATAAGAGAAAAACAGGTGGATTTGTAGGTACCTGAACAACTGAAATTTGGGGGAGTAATTCCCACCAAAGGAATTGATGTGTGGAACATAAGATTTTCTAATAGGAAGTTAAGTTATGAAATGAACACATAAGTAGTGGAAAAATACAAAGTTTCTTCCATGGAAACCCATGGCTCCCAGGGACAATGGAAACACAGTAAGCAGGTGAATGCACCGGTTCGGCTAAAACCAGGATGGGTCAGTCAGGAACCAAAGGAAGGTAACTGGAAAGCCTTGAGTCCTAGTATTGGACCCCTTTGTTGTGAGCCTGCTCCTATCAGTGGTAGGTTGGTTTTCCACACAGATCTTCTTTGGGTGGGAAAGAGTTGGCCAGACAGCACAAACTAGTCCAGCAGAGTTACAGTTCTCTGTACACTACTCAGCTGGTACTCTGGTCTTTGACATGGATTCTCTGAGGATGTAGTAGATCTAAACACTAAGTGTGATCAATAGTGAGGAAACCAAGAAAATAATTTCCAAGCTTGTAGCTCTGAGGAGCCAGCCTGGCATTTGTGACATCACTTCAGTAAATACTATTTCATCACACACAGAGAGCTATTCCGCAAAAGAAGCCAGGTTAAAAACAGAAGAGCTTTCCAGGTACATACCAAACATATCTCGCAAGTGTTTGCTCACTTTTGTAGGCTGGAGGCAGGCTCAATTGGCAGTGGAAGATGGGTGATCTGGGAATCAGATCACTGGACTCTAGTCTCTCACTGCCACTAAGCCTCTGAATAACACTAAGCTTGGCCCTTTCCTCCCTGGGGCCTCAGTTTACTTCTTTGTAAGTTGAAGAGGTGGAGCTTTTCTTTTAGAACTGAGCTCCTGTGGGCCCATGAGAAGAGCTTGGGGCTTGCCATGTGTCTGAGAATTTTAAGTTCTGTTTGAAGTCTTGCTGGGTTGGGAGAGGCAGGGCAGATGTGGAGACAGTGGTGGTGGGAGGTGGGGAAGGGCTCATCTTTCAAGCATCATGGGAATTCATCTTCTTGAACAATGCCTGGGCTCAGGAGCAGGCAAAGGCAGAGCACAGGCTGTTCTGGGCATGCAGGTGGTGGATCAATTGCTTCATGGAATAAGTTGGGTCATGGCCTATGGCCTCATTGGAAACAGCTTCTGTTTTTTCCCTTCATTTCTTTCCTCTGTTTTCTCTGCCAACTCCACCTCCAGAGTCACCTCTCCCAGTGGAGCAAACCAGGAGGCCAGGAGGCCATCAGAAAACTTAGAACAATCAGTTCCTTTATTTCCCCTGAGGAGCTGGAGGAGGAAGTTTCTGGTAGAAAGGATGTAGAGGTTGATAAGAATCTCAGTGGCTCCTGGAAATTCAGCGGGGAGCAGGGGATGAAGGCAGGGAGCAAGCAGGAACAACACAGATGTATGTGAGGCGGAGCGGACCTTCCATGACAGTGAGGAACCAGTGGGATGAGCACCCTCAGGGCAGCCATTTCTCTGCAGACGTAAACACATGATACACAGATGCACACATGCATGGACACACACATACAGATACAGTGGCACACACACACAAACACACATACACATGCACAGATACAGATGCACACACACGTACATGCACAGCTATACATACGCACATGTACAGATACACAAATATATATATATATATATATATACTCACAGATACACACATGGAATACACACAGATACATACACACATACATACATGCACAAGTACATGTAAAAGTCAGCTGATTAAAAAAGCAACTGGGGTTGGAGAGATGGCTCAGCAGTTAAGAATACTTGCTATTCTCTTATAGAGGACCTGGGTTCAGTTTCTAGTACCCATGTAATGGCTAATAACCATCTAAAATTCCAGTTCTTGGGAACTGACACCCTCTTTTGGCCTCTATATGTGCATGAACACACCTGGTGCATTTACATACATACAGGTAAAACACTCATACACACAAAATTTTTAAAAATCAATTAATTAGCCAGGCATGGTGGTGCATGCCTTTAATCCCAGCACTTGAGAGGCAGAGGCAGGAGAATCTCTGTGAGTTTGAGGCTAGCATGGTCTACATAGCAAGTTCCAGGACAGCTGGGGTTACAGGGAGACCCTGTCTCAAAAATACCAAAAAATTAATCAATTCATTAATAAATCAACAATTTGGAGCTGGGAAAATGACTCAGTGAGTAAAGCGTTTGCCACATAGGCATGAGGACATGAGTTTGGATCCTAGAGCAAGATGAGGGACAGAGGCAGGAGATCCCCTGGAAGTGTGCAGCCAGCTAGTCTGGTGCACGCAGCAGTGAAAAACGAGGCCCTGTCTTGAACAAGGTGTAAGGGAAGGAATAACATACTCTTGCTTGTTTTCTGATTCCGCATGTGGCAGCCATGTGTATTCATACACTCACAAAGACTAAAAAACAAACCGAAAACCAAAACCCAAATCAGGTCATATGGTTGGACAGTAAATAGAACAGATTATGTGAACTTGGAACTGCTTTGAAAAAATGCAGGATAGATGTATCTGTAATACAGCACCCGAAATAGGCCACACACACAGCTACAGCACGTGCCAAAGAAAGAATATACGGCCTTGCAGGTTGCTGGACCTTTGTCTGAGCTCCCATTCTTCTGCTCAGGTGTTTGAAAAAGTTACCTCATTCTCTGGAGTTCATTTGTAAAATGGGCTAGGTCATTACTAAGGAGATATCAATGTGCCAGAGTCTAGGATTCTGCTGTGGAATACGAGACTTTCAAGGTTAGATTTTGTAAAATTCCAAGATTATAGTTAGAAAGGCAAGAACAATCTAATTCAATACTTGAAATATATCAACTATATCTGTACAGTTTAAAGGTTAGTAAAGCACTTACCTGTGTGTCCATACAGCGGTTATGAAATAGGACATTCTTAGCACCCAGGAGCCTGTTTTCCTTCCCTGAGAGCACCCCTCCCACACAGTCCCTAACTGGGCATTTATTATCCTTTGCTTTTCTTTATGGTTTTACCACTTATGCTTTATTCATAAATAACCTATCATTTAACGTGGACTGCCTCTGAGCTTCATATGGATGGCCTTCCGCACTTACTCTGTGCTCGCTCATCCTCTCAGCACCGTGTTTGAAGCTCATGCAGGTCCATGCATGCAGCCTCGGGTCATTCATTTTCACCACCACATTGCACCCCATGATCTGAGTGAATCACGATGGCTCTATCCCATTGTAGAGGGTCCCTGAGCTGCTGATATGAATATTCTAGTATTGTGGTATTATTTTTATTATTGGCATTCCCACCAGCAGGTTGCACAGATCCACATTATTACTGACACTTGAAGACATCTGACTAGTAAGTGCAGTTTGTGTGAAATGATAATCACTGTGTAATTTTAAATTTCATTTTCCCAATTATTAGTGAAACTGAGACTATTTTCTTATGTTTATGGGTCACTTGCATCTTCTGCATTGTAAAATGCTAACATCCTTAACCGTTTTCCCCCTTTGAACCTTGTAGCGGTTTGTTGCATATCTTAGAAATGAGTTCTTTTCACTTGTTAGTATAAACGTCCTCTGCAACTGGAGGCTTGTCTTTGCTCCCCTTGTATTTTTTGACGAACCTGTATTCTCAGTCTTTATGTTGCTGATTTATCATTGTTTTCCTTTATGACTTATGCTTTCTCTATTATGTTTAAAAATGCATCTCTACCCTGAAATCCCAAAAGGATGTCTTCTATATTTTCTAGAAATTTCATCATGTTGCTTCTCACACTACTGCAATCCATCCACCGGAATTGACATTAGTGAGGGGTATACAGTAGGGATTCAACTTCCCCCACATGGATAATTAAC